GCTCAACGTACTTCTAGTTCTTGAGCAAGGACGTAAATGTCGCTGCCTTCTTCGTTGTAGAAGTAGGCGTTCGCCCAAAGAAGTTTGGCCTTCTCTTCGAACTGAGCCCAGCTTTTGAATTCGCTGACGTTTGTAGGATTGCCTCGGCCCTGTACTCCCTTGACAATCTTTTGCAATTTCCTCAGAGAGAGTGGATCGGAAACCATTTTGTAGTAATCTTTCAGAGCACGAGGGGGGAGGTTGACGAAAGGCTCAAAGTATGGATCATCATACCTGTTACATGTTAGCGAGCGTCTCCCGACATTAGTTGGTAGCCACATACTCTGGCTCCTGATGCCGCAGGAGTTCCTCCACAATTTTCTCCTGCGCTTGCTGAAAGCTAAGTCCCTTGTAATCGACATCCTCATACTGATCATCGGAGTTATTTGCGGCTGGCTTCTTCGGAGTTTCTTGAGCAGCCGTGGCGGAGCCTCGAGAGGGACGGCTGGGCCCCTGTCTCTTAAGAATTATTGAGCGCTTTCCAGAGCGAGGACCAACATCACCCTCATCCTCCTCGGCGTCGTCCTCATCGTTGTCCTCATCCTCATCCTCCTCAGATTGTTCGGCGTTGTCTCCATCTTCGTCCTCGCCCTCCGCATCTTCTTCAGCGTCCTCGCCTTCCGCGTCCCCCTCTGCACCATCCTCCGGCGGTAGGGGGGTTGGGACAGCTTGATAGCGACGGTTCTGGTATGCGGGATTGGTTTTTGTCATGTAATTGCTGACAGCTTTTCGGACACGTTCCGCGTCGTCAAATACAGAACTTGATCGAGGGTAGAACTCTTTGGCGTTGGAAATCATCCTCTTCAAGTAACTCTCAAGCTGAGCGAGGTCCTTGAACTTTCCATCCAGAAGTTGTTCTTCGATGAGCTCGAGCGAAATAGGCATGCGTGTTTGTTTGTAATAATCGGCATTTCCCTCCTTTGGAGGGAGTTTCTCGAAATAGCCTGCAACTCGGCGGCCACTAAGAGGCGTCAGCACTGCAATCGCACACCTTTGTCCAAAACTAACTACCTTTTGTCCGACGTGCGTCTGATCTGCTCAAGAAAGGCTAGACCGTATGCAGTTGTCGATTCGGGGGTTTCGCCCTTGGAAAGATCGAATTCCTCCTGGGTCGGACGTTAGCATTCCCTCAGTCAATGAGTTGTCCATGAAGCAGTCTCGGCGCATCAAGGAGCAGAATCCGCCATCCGTAATCTTCATTGCGGGACCGGGGAGAGGCGAGCTGAACTCACAGCAAGCTTGCGACGCTTAGAAGCGCGATCGTCATTTTCGGGCGACGCAGCGCCATTGGCCTTGCGCTTTGAGTCCATCCTTCAAAATTGGCTGTGTTTTTCTCTATGACATATCAGGTTGCAAAGCCCGTCGCTGTGCAGGAGAAAACCGCAATCTGCAAGATTCCTAGGCAATGGTCTTCGAAGGAGGTGGATGAACGCGTTTCGACTGGTTCGCTGGTCGGTGCGGCGTAGGCTTAAAGAACTCTAGTCGGTGTCAAGAAAGGAAGAAAACGCAAGGGAAAAAATAGTCCCCCAATTCTGCAGAATGCACCAAGCTGTGAATCGCTCCCGCGAGGATGTTGCGATCTTAGCGCACTGATTCACTGACCACCTTCAGAGGTCAGTACATGGGATGTCGCGTTTGGTTTCGAAAGGCTGGCTCCAATTTTGCGAGACGGGGAAGAATGTACCTGGCGATGTCACCCTACGCTATTCCCGATCTGGGTAGGTATCTCAGGCAACAAGGCGCAAAGCCTTTCGGAGTCACCAACGGTTGTTGGGAGGACGTAACCTGCTATTCATATGGATAAGCAATGAGGGCAATGATTGAATGCCAATATTTCAGGGAGTCACTGCTTGAAATTGGGCTTTCTGGTGTCTGGGCCGACAGGCATGATACCGACAGCCTGATTGAGCAATTGAGGGTCCTCGAACAACTACATGGTAGGCTAACGGGTGAAGGTGAGCATCGCTGGCCTGAGCGGGAGTACACCTAGCGGCCTAGCTGGCAGTGGCTGACAGGCGATATAGTGGACCTGAAGCTACGGGCATCCTTGAGGGACGAAGAACTCGCCGGAAGGACGGTGAAATGAGGTTATTCTTATTCTGAGCCGTGATTCATATAGACAACTTGAAATCAGATTCATACTTCCACGCAAGAGTGCATTTATCAATCCGCTGTTGAGCAATTCACCTTTTCCGGTTACTCAGCTACTATTGCAGACAAGCTGGACATAATACATGACACACCAGGCCTCCAACAGTGTAATCGTCTCAGTATTACGCAGTTGACATAGGAAGCATCAGTAGAAAGTTAAAGTCGATTAAAAATATAGAGCATATTATTTACTTCTACTTATAGTGTTCAGCGCTCATCGAAGAATGCAAAACTCGCAATTAGCATGTTAGAGGTCAGGCGTAATTTTTTACACTTTTTTATGTCGCCCCCCAGACCAAGTCCGCCATCTCCATAAAAATGTGATAGCTCTTAGATCTGGCGGGGACATCGGGACAAGCTCGAGAGCAAGCCCCTCCAGTTTGGAAACCACGATACCGTCATTGCCAGCCATTTGCTCATTTCACGACGCATTTTCAAACGGAAATTAGCACCTTCCAACCAGCCCGGATTGCGATGGCCGATTCCAAGCCAACCGACGGGGGCAAGCAGGCGGGCGAGAATGAAACTTCAGTCCTCCAGAATATTCCCATCCGCAGAGGACCGCTCCCCCTCGAAATTCCCATAATCCAGCACTTAAACTCCAAGCGCGTCATTCTGGCATCGGCGTCCCCTAGACGGAAAGCTCTGCTGCAGCAGGTCCGTTCTCCCCCATGGCAAGCATCGTGCCCTTTTCTAACCAGCAATTATAAATCCAGATCGGCCTCAAGAACCTCGAAATCCTCCCGTCGACCAAACCAGAAGACGTGGACAAGGGCGCATACGGCCCCTACGAATACGTCGAAGAGACGGCCCGCAAGAAGTGCCTGGACGTGTACAGCATAGCCCTGGAGAACTCCATGAAGTCGATACCCGACCCCACCCTCGTCATCGCGGCCGACACCATCATCGTCACGCGCGACGGGCGCATCCTCGAGAAGCCGCGCAACGAGGCGGACCACATCCGGATGCTCAAGCACCTGCGCGACACCCGGATGCACAAGGTGCTGACCTCGATCAGCGTCATCGCCCCGCGGGAGGACGCGAGGGCGCCGGGCTACGAGCTCGTCACCCACACGGAGGAGACCAAGGTCTACTTCTGGGAGGAGGAGGACGGGCTGCCGGACGACGTCATTGAGGCTTACGTGAAGACTAGGGAGGGGGCGGACAAGGCCGGCGGCTACGCTATCCAGGGCATGGGCGGCATGCTGCTCGCGGAGAAAATCGACGGCAGCGTGGATAATGTCGTTGGTTTACCTGTTCGACGGACCCTGTCGATGGCCGAGAAGGCTCTCTTCCAGCAGGAGGAGGACATATATGAAGAGGGCGGGGAGGAGGAGGAAGATTGATTTTGTCACGCGCCCTTGCAGCTAGATGTCGGGCATGCTGGACATGAAAAGAACATATAGCCGCAAAACTTTTGTCTCTCTCGGATATGGAAGTACATTGTGTTTCAAAATATATAACAGGAAATTATTAGAATCGCTGGCTGAATATTACACATTGGGCGTTGGACATCAATAAAGCGTTGCTGATCATTATCTGCGGTGTTACAACCTCCGTTTAGCATGTGAAAGCCGGATAGTGCATCCTGCGTTGGATGGGCGGATGAATTGACAGCACTTTAACACGACGAGCTGCAGGCCCCTCTTACTATATTCGACCAAAAAGTTTCTTTTGCAATTTTCGAGTGTGCGGAAAGCCTGCATGCGCGGCTGCAGCCCCAAGGCATGAATTGCATGCAGCATCTCTATTCGTCGGTCGTCCATGCTCGGTGGTCTTAGCGGCCTGAATGTAAATGGAGTCTGCCCGGAATCTGGGGTCGGTCATACCCTTGCCTACACCCACTCCCATCGTCTGGTGTTGACAATCGACATCCGGAGGAGAAGCCGAACAGAGTTCAAGCCTCCCGATTCCTCCCGGCCCTTATAATACACATGGGATCGTCTCGTCCTGGAGTCATATTCAGCAGTGTTGTACAATGATAACTTCAGGCAATAAGTCTCCGCCCCCCTCTGCTGATGGCGGCCTCAATGCCGACGATAAGCCGCGCCTGACGGAGGAAGAAAAAAAGCAGAACCACATCGCGTCTGGTATGTAAATGGGAAACAGGGTTGGATTCGGGCTCTGTGTTTACTTGAGTGGACGGATTCATTGACACGAAAGGCATGCAGAACAAAAACGAAGACAGGCCATCAGGGAAGGCTTTGATCGCCTGACAGAGTTGGTCCCCGGCCTCGAGGGTCAAGGGCGCTCAGAGGGCCTGGTCCTGAAGCGGACTGTGGAATACATGAGAGACAAGATCGAAGAGAGACGGGAGATGGTGGACCGCATTGAACAGGCCGGCGGCGAGGTGGATGAGAAGCTGAAAAGGTAAGGGCTGAGCTTTCTCGTGCCGTGCATCCCGACCACTGCTGCGCTGGATTGAAGGCATCAGAAGCTGATCTAGTATAGACCCCTCTACAGACAACAGACAGCCGGGAGTCAACATTAAACAAGGGGATGAAACGGCTCGGGATCTTCAAATGTCGTCGGAAGGCCTTTCATACATCTTAAAGCAACACCTCAACCAAGCCTAAGCTCAGTATGGCATTCATGCATTCTAGCGATAAACGGCCTGTATTCATGGGAGGACTCCGGCCGTGAGCATTACCACAAATTTTAGATTGCTTCAAGGCGCTTCTATACATGCAAACCACAGACAGTACTTTTTGGCATTTGGTTTACTCGTGGGTGGAAGTAGAGGAGAGAACGATGATGAGAACGTGGTAATGTGAGTAGGATTTGAATTAGATTTGGATTAGGAGTATCCGTTATTGGAAAGTGTCTACCATGTTCAACATTTTGTCACGCATTTCAGCAGGCGACATCCTCTCTTTACCGAGGCTGACCTGCTTGTGTTTTACATCTTCGTCGCCTACCACCAATATGTGACCGTAGCCACTGTTACGTGCTTCTCGGATCTTCAAACCCAAAGATCTCGCGCTGACATCTACATCAACACCCAGGCCTGTTGGCCGGAGCGGGTGGTCAGGGGAAGGCAGCCTCCCCGCGAGGATATCCTCGTACGCCTGGCTGTCGTTTCCAATGATTACATTTCGCGCCTGTTCTGCCCATTCGATGACAGGGGCTGAGGTGTTCACCGTCAAGATGATGGCCTGGCGTGGGTTGAGCCAAAACGGCCATTTGCCGTTGTAGTTTTCAATAAGGAGTGCCATAAGACGCTCCACGGACCCCAGCACCGCGCGGTGGATCATAACAGGACGTACTGGGCCATAATCGGCGAGCAGAGCCGGATCATCAGTCGTCTCTCCTCGGGCCTCGTACTCTGGAGCCGGCGCTTGGTACTCCAGCTCGAAACGCTTAGGAAGTTGGAAGTCGAGCTGAACTGTGGCGGTTTGATGCTCTTTCCCGTCTGAATCCTTTAAGATGATGTCAATTTTGGGACCATAAAAGGCGCCGTCACCCTCGTTCACACTCCACTCCATTCCGGATGTGTCCAGGGCTCTCCTCAACGCGTCCTCCGCACGCTGCCATTCCTCGTCCGTGCCAATAAAATGGTCCTTTGGCCTGGTTGATAATGCGAGCCGGTAGCTAACGCCCAACCGCAAAACAGTGTAAACAACCTTGACAAACTCCAAGGTGCGCTTAATCTCTTCCTCCACCTGGCTTGGGCGACAGAAAATGTGGCCATCGTCCTGATGGAAACGCCGCACTCTTGTCAGACCGCTCAAGGCGCCTGATATCTCATTTCTATGCAATGGACTAAAATCAGCATATCGGATCGGCAGATCTCGATAGCTGCGGGCTTTGGATGCAAAGACGACGCAATGTCCGGGGCAATTCATAGGCTTCAAACCATATTCTCCATCCTCCTCCTCGTGATTGGGGTCCTTCTCCTCACTAGGGCAGCAGCCATGCTCATCAGTAGCCACAGACTTGGGATTCCCCGTAACTGAGTACATGTCATCACTATAGTTCGCCAAATGACCAGATTTTGCCCATAGCGACTTTTTATAAATCGTTGGCGTTATGACTTCTTCGAACCCGTAGCGGATGTATTGTTTGCGCAGGAAGTCGACAAGTTTGTTGAAGATTCGGGCACCGCGGGGGAGAAACATTGGCGAGCCAGGACTGTAAATCGAACTGATGAAGAGTTCCTGCTGCGTTGCGAGCTTTCGATGATCAGGAGGTTCTTGTTTGGGGGTATTTGCCGACTGCTTGCTCGAGAATTGCCGCCTCGAGAGACATGCTGGGCATGTCCATGCCCGGCGCGACGCAAGCGGGCGTATACTGTTTACAGCCCGCGACCTTATCATCGTAGAATTGGCGGTGGTGACATCAGGAAATCGGGTGAGAGTGTAGAAGAAAAATTCCCGGCAGTTTGGATCGGACGAGGCATCGAGCTTTTTTCCATTTTTGGCATAGCGCCTTGCGACCATGTGCTACCACGGCACTTTATTTGAACTCGACATTTGCATCCAACAATCGCTCTTTAACTCGAGAATTTGTGACTGAACCAATCTGACTATTCCAAAATAGTCATTCCGCTTCAGCCCGCTTGTCCGAAATGTGACTTGATACAAAGATCGTTACGGGCCATACACAATTTTCCGATAGAATAGTGGGACGGCTTTCCAGAATGAGCCTTTGCGCTGGTAGACTCACATTACTTTAAATCAGGTACCTAGTTTCGACATTCAGTTATCATAACTCCAAAAGCTGGAATAAAACTACTACAACAACATGAGAAATGGATATCTCACCGTCCAACCGGGCGCTAACCAAAGTGACCAAAAGTGACCAAAAGTGATCAAAAGGAGGCACACCTTCTTTGAGAAAAAGAAAAGAATTGGAGTATATAATGCAACCTCTTAAAGAGGAAAACACCGCTCTCTGGAGTGAAACACTATTAGTCGTCATCGCCACAAGCGAGGCATACGATAAGCAAACCCCGCTGTCGCTTAAAGAGACCCGTGCCAATGAGGCTCGGTGCGATAGTAGACAGCAAGACCACACAAGCTTTGCAGAAAGAGAAGAGCCCATGGAGGTATGAAATAGTATGACGAGAAGAGAAGTGATCCTTCAATATCGTTGCTTTTGTATAGAGACGTTCTAGGTAGCTGAATTATACAATGGATTGTACGTTTGAAAAAGAGGTTGCTCCCGTCCTCGCTATCATGACCATTACCTTCATCCGGATTGGATTCGCCGCACACCAACGCCCAGATTTAAACAAGATCAATGCATTGTAACGTCTTGATCAAGTAATTCCGGCAATCGCATGAATAAACCGAATGCTGACCTCATTGTATCATCCTCGACGTGTCAATGTGAGTGAGAGGCGGAGACTGCGGTTTTTGGAATTCCGCCACCATCGGGGTGTCGCCGCTTTTCCCTTCGTGGAAGGGCCGCCCAGCTCCGCGCTTATTGAACAACCGAGACAGAGTATATTTAAAAGATGGTTGAAGTATATGATTATGCTGTCTGAAAAGATTGCATAACTGATTCCAGTTAGTTTTCATTACATATCGCATCGTTTTATTTATGGTGGTGCTGAACGCGATGTTGCGAACGGCGAGAATCTCGGCTCTTAGAGCGCCCAAGTCTCTCTATACCAGTTCTCTTCTGTGCCAAAGAAGAGCTGCCACAACGAATGCTAATGTGGAGAAGAAAGAGGGCGATATTTCCTCAGTCTTCAGGTCTCTGTCGGCCGGCGACTCGACAGAGACTTTACCACAAAGATTTGCTGAAGTCAAACGGAATCTCATTCAGGATCCAGTGGCGCTTCAGAATAGCTGGAATCGGCTTCTAGCTCACCTCAGAGTCGAGACTGAGGAGATTGCCAAGCAAGGATCGGCCTGCATCCCAGAAATCGATTTTTCTGACATTAAAAATCCATCAAAAGATTTCAATGATGCGTTAAGAAAGCGGGGGGTTGCAGTTATCCGTCAGGTAGTTCCTGAGAAAGAGGCGCGGGCCTACAAGGAGGAGGTTGAAAAATATGTTGCAGCAAACCCTTCAACAAAAGGTGTGGTTGTACCCTTGTCCGAAGTGTATACGCTTTGGAAGTAGAGATCACTGACAAAAACAGCATTTCCACCACACGATCCTCAAGTATTCGAGCTGTATTGGTCCAAACCCCAGCTAGCAGCTCGAGGTCACCCGAATATGATTGAGGCGCAGAAGTTTCTGTTGTCATATTTCCACTCCAAAGATCCTCATGCGCCCTGCTCTCTCCAGCAGCCCCTCACATATGCTGATCGTCTGCGTATTCGACAGCCTGGTGATGCTGGGTTCGCCCTAGGTCCACATATAGATGGCGGTGGGGTTGAGCGATGGGAGAAGGAAGGATATGGTCAAGGCCAAGTTTATGACAAAATATTTGAAGGAAAGTGGGAGGAATTCGACGCTTGGGAGTTGAGCACCCGCTTGAAAGCCAAGCAGGACCTGTACAACGGCGCAGGCGCCTGCAGCATGTTCCGGATGTTCCAAGCATGGCTCGGCATGTCGCATACAGGTCCCAAGGAAGGGACACTTCTTGTCAACCCTTTACTGTCGCTTTCAACATCTTACTTTCTGCTCCGGCCTTTCTTCGCCCCAAAGAAGGCTTGGGCTGCAGAGCCAGGTTCTCCCTATACCCCTGAGTACTTGGAGAGCGACAACTGGGCTTTGGCACCACCCGCGTCTCCTGAACTTCAAGGCGCTTGGCCAGGCCACTGCCAGGAGCTGAACCACGTTCTTCACCCTCACCTGAATCTCCCCAAAACGATGGTGCATGTGCCACGAATCAGGCCAGGAGACTACGTTGCGTGGCATTGCGACACCATTCATGCTGTGGACAGTGTGCACGGCGGTAAGGGCGATTCAAGTGTCCTATACATCCCGGCTTGCCCTACAACAAAGATCAATCTGGACTATGTCCGTAAGCAACGCGACCATTTTATCCAAGGAATTCCACCGTTTGACTTTCCGGGCGGCGTGGGCGAAAGCCAGCATGTCGGCCGACCTGGTGCAGCCGCGTTGAAAGAGCTATCCAACGAAGCTGCTCTTCGGGCATTTGGATTTGCGCCATTTGACGTTGCAGCAGCCAAGGAGCAGGAAGAGGCGAGCCTGCTTGAATACGGGAACAAGGTACTGGGCTTCTAGTCAATGGAAGGGATAAGGGGTTAAGCTGGTGCCAATTCCACGTTGAGAACAGCCCAGTACGAAAAGGTTAGGTTAGGTTAGTACAATGCATAGCACCTTCCATCTGGGAGCCACTTTGTACCTTCCAGTTGCTACTCCTCCAGGCTCGGTTTGTTCACATAACCAAGGGGTAAATTAGCAATATTGCAAGTTTAAATTTCTGAATAAATGATTAGTTCTCATATGGACCTCTGTAACTTCATACTCATATCGTAGCTCCAGGTTCCAGGGTCTACCGCCAGCCTTTGTGGCCGGCGCCGATCAGCTCGGGCCGTATGCACTACCGGCAAAGAGGGGAGGCAGTGGACAAAATTGTGCATGCAGCACTGGAATGGTGTAAATCTGCCGCATCATTGTGACTCTTTTCCTCTCTCCTTATGCACGCCATATACGGCACCATTCTTGCGTCCAGGGATCAATTTCCTCCATTATAGAATACGATGTAAGACCCAGCAGCCCTGTGTGTTACCAGCATGGTGCATTGGTGGCCCTTGAATACCGCACTAACAAGCATCCAGCTCGTATCAACCCCGCCATGCCTCCCCAATTCTTTCCGCACGCATCTGTCTCACCGTGCTTCAATCCCACCATCGCCCTTCGAGTCCGGCACTGCAACGGTCCTGCCATAACCTGACCCGGGCACAGTATCGCTACCCGTTTGCGCCTTTTTAGCTGCCCGGCCCTGTTGGACGCTGGTCCCAGATTTCAACTTCGTCATTGTCCACTCCCTGTCGCCGCCAAGGCGGTTTGGCAGCAAGTATGAGCTTCGCGATCGAAGTCCCCGGGAGCGCAAATCCCCTAAGCTACCAAGACTTATGCCGTACGCTTCAAAACGCAACGACGTCCCCAGATGCGACTCAGAGGCAGAGCTCCGAGCAACAGCTGACTACCTGGGAAACTCACCCTGGGTACTACAGCTCGTTGCAGGTATGCCATTCTCCCCAGCCTGCCAGCGGCCGCCCTTTGTGAAAACGCTAATGTATTATATAGTCGGTGTATCTAGACAAATCCTTGCCGCTAGAGCCTCGATTTCAAGCCGTTATTCAGCTTAAAAATGGCATCGACAGATACTGGAGGCTCTATGCCCATGTCAAGAGCGGTGTCAGCCCCGAGGAGAAGACTCTCATCCGATCACGTTTGTTCCAGGGTACGATCGACGAAGGCGAGGAGAGGCTCGCAGAACATAATGCATTGGTAGTGGCGAGGATTGTGCGGATAGATTATCCTACAGATTGGCCAGAGGCCCTCCCTCAGATCATCGAGCTGCTTCGAACATCCAGGCATGGCAACCAGCAACACCTCTTCGGCACCCTGCAGATTCTGCTACAAGTTGTCAAGGAGCTGGGGACTGCCCGCCTGAGGAAGTCGCAGACAGCCCTCCAGTCGGTCGCTCCTGAAATGGTGCATGTTTTGAGCGAGATCTATTCTGAAAGATCCGAGCTTGGCATAAACTTCCTCGGGAGTCGGCAAGGAAACGAACAAGAGGCTTACCAGTCATTGCGTATCAGTCTTGTATCTCTGAAGATTCTACGAAGGCTCGTAATCGTTGGCTATGAACGCCCACACGCAGACGAGAAGGTCGAGCAGTTCTGGTCCATGTCTCAAAATCAATTTGGGCAATTACTTGGTCTCGTCGGCAATGAGTCAAATCTACCACCGCTCTTCCAGGAGGTGGCCGGGGGACATCTTTTACAGTTCACAAAACTACATATCAATATGTCAGACCAGCATGCTGCTGGGTTTGCTGTCCTACCAAACACGCTTCCACTTGTTCGCGCATACTGGGACCTAGTCGCCAACTTTGCTGAGAGTTTTGCGACTTCTGGAGGCATTCGACAAAGTTCAGGGGGAGGCGGGGCCACCAAGGCCAAGATTGAAGGCCCGTTGTTGGAGAAGCTTGCTGTTAAAGGACTTCTTCTACTTCGAGCCTGCATCAGGATCGCATTCCAACCTGTCCAAACCTTCAAGTATCGTACTCCTCAAACCAAAGCGGAGCAGGAACAAGCTAGAACACTTGTCAAGACAGAACTGTGGAAACCCGAACTCGTGGTTCAAATTGTGAACTGCATCATCACGTATCTCTTCGTGTTTCGAAAGTCGGACTTGGAGGCGTGGGAAGAGGACCCAGAAGAATGGGAAAAGGAGCAGCAGAGCGAGGGTGATGCTTTTGAGTGGCAGGTCCGGCCTTGCTCAGAAAAGCTCTTCCTAGATCTTCTGACAAATTTCAAGGACCTGCTCATTGCCCCATTAATGACTTACTTTCAAACCGCCGAGAACCCACAGGCGGACATCGCGACAAAGGAGGCTGTATACACTGCAATGGGCTTGTCTGCGGCACACGTCGTCAACAAATTCGACTTTGACGCATTCCTTGCATCGACCATCTCTCAAGATGCACAGCAGTCTGGTGAATTGTTCAAGATTCTCCGGCGACGCATTGCCATCTTGATCAGCCAGTGGGCTCCAGTGAAACTTGAGGATCACAGCCGCCCTATCGCATATCAAATTTTCCGGCACTTTCTCAACCCCAACGATGAGAACAATGATGTTGTCGTGAGAATCACAGCCGCTCGAGAGCTGAGGTGGATTGCAGATGAACTTGGCTTCAGCGTTGAGGCCTTCCTCCCTTATACCTCTGATGTGCTGAACCAGCTCGTTGTTCTGACTCGAAACGTCGACATCGACGAAACCAAACTGGCGATTTTAGAATCCATCAGAATTCTTGTCACCCGCATGGAGGATCAAGTAGCACAGTTTGGCGACCAACTCATGTCAACCTTGCCTGAGATCTGGACCAACTCTGGAACAGAAGAATACATGATCAAGCAAGGTGTGATTGCCATCTTCGCCGCTCTTGTTATGAGCATGGGGTACGAATCGCAGCGCTATCAACACTTGATGATCCCTCTGATTACAGAAGCAACAAGAAAGGGCTCTGATCTGCATGTGCATTTGATTGATGAATCACTAGAGTTATGGAATGCGATTCTCATGCACAGCAAACCACCGTTGTCCCCCGAGATGATTAGTCTTTCCGAAACCCTTCTGCCATTGCTGGAGTACTCGTCGGAAACTGCGTCCGAGGCCTTGCTTGCAGTTGAGTCATACATCTTGCTTGCTCCCAGTGCTATTTTAGAAGACCGGCTACGTCGACCAACCCTCTTGGCCCTGCTTGGTGCTCTAGACTCCAAGAGCAGAGAGCTCGTTCGTACGGGTACCACATGCATTGAGTATCTAACACGATCCGCCGTCGAGCTCGGAGGGCCTGCTGGTGTCTCTGTCATTATTCAAGATATGGTAGAGACAGGGTTCATGAACAAGATCCTCGGTCGGTTGCATGATGCATGGGAAGCACATCAGACCACGGGCCCGAATCGCAAGATCAGTCAGCTCAACACACTTACTGAAGGAGACTACCTTGCAATTGTGTCACGTCTTGCCTTGGCCGAGCCAACCCTTTTCGTCCAAATGTTGACATCCTTTGGCAGTTTAGACCAAGTCTGGGGCTGGCTATCCTCGGAATGGTTCTCATACATGCAGGGGATTGATCGCCTTGAAAGGCAGAAGCTTTACCTCCTAAGCTTGACCCGTCTTCTGGAGCTTCCCTCGCCTATGCAGGAGCTCGTGCTTGCAAAGCTTCAAGACTTCGTGAGCATGTGGTTAAACACAATCGCTGAGTTGCAGGACGGTACTACAGATGGAACGGACAGCTTGCTGTGGACGGAGATCGAGGCGGGTGAGTACGATTACCCAAAGATTATTCTCCAGCGAGAGACCCAGATGAAGGATCCGGTGCATTCAATGAGTGCGCTTGGATTCGTGAGAGAGAGACTGCAGGACCTGGTCAGCCGCCTGGGAGGTGAGGCTGTGTTCGAGGAACAGTGGGCTGTGAACGTGGACAAGGAAGTGATGGATCAGTTCCGCCAAATGATGGGTGCAGCTGCAGGACAGCAGCAGTGATTTTGCAGAGACGGTCAGTGATGATATCCAGGGAGCTAAGAATCCCTATTTGTTTATAAGCAGAGCAAACGGGTATGACTAGCCCAGTAAATGAAACGAATAGACTCCATTAATGTCTAGAACAGGATGACCGACCACACCATCACCAGGATAAGACCCCATAACACCCGTGTGCACTATTGTATCAATTTGAAACCGCCAATAGGTCCTTTTAAAGCTTGCTGCTTCCCTCCTGGGGAACTTTGATCACAACCTTGCCCCATGTCCCACGGCTCCCCAGCGCGGTCAGCGCATCCGAGACCTTCTCCAAGCCAACAAACTCCTGGTCCGAGTACTCGGTCCCCTTGAGCTTCCCGGCCTTGACCAGGTCCATGATGCCCTTCCAGACGGTGAGGATCGTCTCGGGCTCGTTCCGGGTGTACGCGCCCCAGTGGATGCCCACGAGCGAGATGTTCTTGAGCAGGAACTTGTTGGTGGGCACCTTCTCGATGCTGCCGGCCGCGAAGCCGACGACGAGGATGCGCCCGTTCCAGGCGGTGCACTTGGTGGAGAGGTCCACGAGCCCCACGGGGTCGTAGACGATGTCAACGCCCCGGCCCTTGGGGGTCAGGGCCTTTACCTGCTGCGGCCACGACTTGTCGGTGTAGGAGACCACGTGGTCGGCGCCGAAGCGCTTCGCGATCTCGAGCTTGTGCTCTGTTGAGGCTGTTGCGATGACGGTTGCGCCGAATGCCTTGGCGACTGGAGGGTTTCACGGGGTCAGCTACCACGAAACAGCAAAGAATGCCCCCAGAAATTATTGCGGAGGGTGACACCTAAAAGTTGTCTAGATGTAGATTTGCAAGAAAAACTCACCTTGAACAGCGGCCAGGCCGACACCCCCCGCAGCCGCGTGGACCAGCACAATGTCACCGGCCTTGACGCCCGCCCGGACGACCAGCGCGCCGTAGCTGGTGGGCGCGGTGACGAACAGGCCCGCCGCCTCCTGGAACGACCAGCCCTCGGGCACGGGGAGCAGGGCGCTCTCGGGGACGGCCAGCTTGGTCGCGAATGCGCCCTGGCTGGCGCCGAAGACGCGGCTGCCCACCGGGAAGCGGGGGGAGCTCGAGTTGGCCGGGACGGAGACGACGACGCCCGAGAACTCGGAGCCGGCGACCCATGGGAAGGCTATAAGAGGAGAAAAAATGGTTAAGATCAAGCTCTCCGATGACAAGGGCGGAGGCGGTTTGGAAACTCACGTGGCTGGTTCTGGTATTTGCCCTGGATCTGGAGGATGTCGAAGAAATTGGCCGCCGCGCCGTGGACCTGCACGACGTACTCATTCGGCTTGGGTGACGGGTCGGGGAGCTCCGTCACCTTGAGCTCGTTGGGAGTCTGGGTCGTTGGTTAGCTGTGTCTTCATCTACGTACCTAGTTGGGAAGCATACCTTGACATATTCAGCAATCTGGATCCCACGCATGTTGGGCGGGATGGCAGGATATCAATCCGGAAAAGACGGGCTGGGATGGGTAGTTTAGCTGCTGAACAACTATCTAAAAAGGATACAGGTGGAATGGGTGAAGAGAAGAAGAAAAGATCTAGATTGTCGCAAAATGATGAACGCTCGGATAGCATGGATACATTTCGAGACAGCTTCCCCATATGTACATATACGCCTACCTATACTTAGCGGTCTGCGCTACGAATAGCCGTTGCATGCCGCCCCAAGCTCCCACAATCAACAGGGGTTAGGCCCATCGCGGGGTAACCAGCCGAGGCATCTCTTGCATCAGGGACCATCGAGGGCACGCAAGGACATGCACTCAGCCGAGTCCCGATAGGCTCTCATGCGAGTTGTCAAGGCTTCAAACGGTAGCGTAGATCCAATTGAGGAAGCATTCAGGCGCCTCAGCTTGATTCGCTGAGTCTACAGTCTGTACCAAATGAGCCTGTGATTCATGAATGCTATGGGTCTTCCACAGTCAACCACCATCAAAGCCTACCAATTTCGCCAATCCCATTCGCCCCGCCACCCCTCGCTCCTTCGCCGCCTTCTCAACAACCTTGCATCGACCATTCTTGAGAGCTCAGACATTTCGCAAAGCTCCCAGACTGGGAGGACTAAATTTACAGAACACATGGTATAGTGCACAGGAGTAACGCTTTGTCAGGGAAAATAACCCATCGTTCTGTAGCTATTATTCGGGAATCATTCTCGTATGCTAATTTGCTCCTGAGTGGTGATTTGCCTCCCATCACCCTGGGCGTAGACCCTAATCCTTCCATTCGATAAATCATGACGAACCAAGAAGATACTCCACCGCTCCTTGTACGCTTCCACCACTCCGTCTCAATGCCGCTACATTACGATCGAAATCAAAGAATCCCATGTCATTGAGCTGTCGAAGTTGATCCGCATACCGCTCCTCAGGAGGTCGATTGTCTGGCGGCGAGGCTTGGGCAGCGCCGCCGCCACCCATCATCTGCATTATCTGCTGCATCATCTCGGGGTTCATGCCAAATGGGTTTTCCTGCGAGCCTCCGGGAGGGGGGAAGAGCGCCGCAAATGGGTTGGCCGCCGCCTGTTGGGTGTTCTGCTGTGAATCTTGGCCGGCGGCAGTGGTACGGGTGCTGGTACCATCACCTGTTGATGCTGGCGCTGCTGCTGAGTCGCCGCCGGCAGCGTTGGGAGGCCGTGTAGCACCCAGCAGCGCCTGTAATTGAGTGAGGTCGGGAAAGCCGCCGCTCTGCGCTCCAGGATATCCACCAAAAGCAGCAAAAGGGTTTGCAAAGGGATTCTGCGCATTTGCGCCGCTATTTGCTGCACCGTCGTTGCTCGCCGCATCTGATGGGGTTGTGTCGGTAGCACCTGGTGCTGGGAAGGCCGAATTTCCACCTCGCATGCCGCGCTGCATGCGCATGGCCTGGGCCATCAACGAAGGGTTGTTTATCATTTGCCGCATAAAGGGTGAGGTGATAAGCTCCCGCGCATTAGGCATCTGGCGTAGAAGCGGGTTCGATTGAATCAGCATGTTCACAAACTCTGGGTTGTTCAGAGCTTCGTTCATGGATTGTTGTGCATTAGGGTCCTCCATCATGCGCTGAATACGCTCCTCGTCCATTGGGGGACCCATCTACAGGCGAACGTGGTCAGTATGAGGCAAGAAAGCCAGGCGTGCCCAAGGCGCACGGCACGATTGCGCAATAGGGTAAGGAGTCAACTTACACCACCATCGGGTCCAAACATATCCATGCCGGGTAGGTTAATCTGGTGGCCAGCATATCGGGCGCCAGTCAAGCCAGCCAAGGGGTTGTTGGCGGTTCCTGAAGCCATATTGGTAGGCACGGCAGGAGCAGTTGTAGACGCAGATGTAGACGCGGGTTGGCCGGGGTTGCTGGCTGCGCTCTTGACCATGTGGATTGTGTTGTTGGGCTTTATCTTATAAGTTCCCAAGGTCTCCTCATTCTTAAGTACGCGACCCGAGTAAATGAGGCGCTGTCGCTCGACGGGTATCTTCTCGAAATCGTCGCCGGAGAGCTTAGTCTTCAGATCAAGAACGGTCGCGGCTTCTGACATGGTGATGGTGTGAGACTTATCACCAGAGGTCTTCACCTTGAAGGTGATCTGCTGCGGCTCGCTAGCTGTGTCGGCATTGTCGGCCATGGCGAGGTCGGGTACGGTACGGGTGGGGAGACGTGCGTATGTGAAGATGCAAGTTGCGAATTGTCGAGGGACCCAGACGGAGACGGTAAGGATGCCAAAGAAGGGTGTGCCAACCAACAAGTCTGGGCCCAGTCAGTCACTTGGCGCGGGGTTGAGGAGACGGTGATGGAGACGGCTCAAGAACAGAGGGAGCTCCAGGTTCTGCAAGAGGTGATTGGAAGGGTGTGCCCAAGGAGGAGCAGGAGGAGGGAGGGACGGGTGACTGCCCAGTGTTCTGGGCTGGGCAAAATGCGGAATGCGAAAAGGCAGCTTTGCGATTGCACAGGTCGTATGCGTGGACGGAGCGGATGATGACAGATCAATCAGGGTAGGTGGTGTTGCCACACTGATCAGCCGTTCTCACTGAGGTTGGGAGGCGGGACCGGCGCTGGCTGGTGGAGGTTCTAGGAAGGGAGCGCCCTGTACAACGTACGCTGTTTGGCTGTCTGCCGCTCCAATTGCTTCAGCGCAAAGATAGGGTTTGCTCTCTGAGATTAGATAGATGCGTGCGGTCAAGTTCCTGTCTAGAATCCGTCCCAGGCCCCGATCTTGTAGCATATTTTGGCATGTCCACGGCGGCCGTCCTTTCCTTCGACTCGAGTCCATCAGCTTCTCTGGTCAGGCGGCATCCATCTGCCTACCTAGGTACTGAGCTGAGCCACTCGCTGCCAGCCTTTAGCTCCAGGGGCTGGGCTATCCACCTAGGTCCCTGCAACTGGGTGACCCGAGACACACATCAGTGCCGATAAACAGGTCGCATGGGGCTGATAAGCTCCAAGCGAGATGCCATCCCGTCCAGCCTCATTAGGGAATCCGCGAGTACGTAGTCGTAATATACATGTGCAGAGCAGATGTGATTGGACAAAAAAAAAAACGCTGCTGAATACTGACCTTTAGCAGCCTGGGCACTGGCTGGATGCAACTAGCCATGCATGTCACAAGGATTGTCAGTCTTTCCATTTCTCTGGGGTTTCCACCACTTTTTTCCACCTAACCTGGAGTCCGCTTCGTTGTGCCGCAGCTAGCATCCCTCCGAACCTCATCACTAACAACCTCTATCACCACCGTTACTTTCACAACCCGGAATTCAATAATCAGACAAACGATTTAATTTGTCGAGCCAGCTCAGTTCATTCACAGACACAAACAATAAGGCTTAACTTGCGTATTCGCTTTAGCAGGGCTTCATAGGTACTCATCATCCAGGGTGGTTGAAATGCTACCAGCATTCGCCGTTCCATCATGATCCAGGGCATCTTCTACGCGAGATTCTTCCCCAAAGAAGGTATATGTGCATCTTGCCTTCACGTCACATTTCATCACACTCACAATTTCGCTTCCAGGTCCTAAGATTGTCGCTCAATCTCCTCCGGGCTGCATCACATCGGTCGACTCTGCGACATCCGGCGGCAACGCCAGCAGCAATGCGAGGGCCCCTCTTGTCGACTTTGACGTCCTTCATGAATACATCATCCCTCGCCAGGCCTTCTGCAATCGCTATGTCACCATAAATTGCCCAGAGGGCAAGTACTCCATCCTGGGGTACCCCGTTCTCATCCCTCACACTAAGTATATGAGGAACGAATTCATCTTCAACTTCGGCCTGCTTGTCGAGGCAGATGTTGACCAGGCTGCCTACGAACCCGTGGTAAGGAGGCTTGCTGCGACCTTTTCTGAGATGGAAAAGCAGAATGAGTATCTAAGCCAAAGCGAAGGGAGACTGGTCGAATCAGATGGACGAGGCGGCTATGAGTCAAGAAGGCCCATCGAGAGTTTGCTGGAGATCGTCAAGGAAGACCTCAACAACTATGGAGAGTGCATGATCCCTGTTGGTAAGCTTCCTCCTCTCAGAGAGAGAACAAAAAGAGAACTATCCATTCAACGGACCCAATTCCTAATCTTCAATAGACGAGGCCAATACCATCAATATGAAGCTGTTCCCGCCTCACCCCAACCCACCACCCGTCAAAGGCTGGCACGTCCCAGTCTCTAAAACCAAATTTTCCGATATTGTCGACCCAACCTGGGATCTCACCCTTCAAAAAGTAATTGCCCATATCGACGGTGTGTCTGACGTCCGGCGCATCGCCCATGCTGCTCACGTCTCCGTGGACCTGGCCAAAACAGCGCTCCGCCACCTCCTCTACTACGACACCATTCTGCTCCTCGACATGTTCTTCTTCGGAGCCTGCTATGCGCCCCGACCCGGTATCCATGATTTCGTGAAAAACATCGACGGCATGATCGACGAATGCGCCGAGTACGTCTCCCATGGCGGACGCCGCCTCAGCAATTTCCACTTCGTCAGGCTCATGACCTCGTTCGTTCCCGGGCGCACCGTCATCGAGTGGCTCTGGGCCCACCAGGAAGCTGGGCTCGAGGTGCTGCGCTACATCGACGTCCGCCGCTTTGTCCAGTTCGGCCTGATCAAGGGTCTGCTCTACCGGGTGCATAAGTACGTCGTCTCGAAGCAGTACCTGGCTGCGCTGGTGTCTGGTCAGAGCCACCCCGTCGAAGGCGGGGATCCTATTCAGAAGTATACGGATGGCTGTCACCATTTTGACCAGATCATCACTGAGCAGGACCTCACCGACGATGAGATCGTGGAGAAACTCAAGGCGTTGCGTGTCTCTCGAGGCGACTTGGCAATATTCTACCGGTAGGCCGGGAAAAAGCAACGAAAACATTGTGGGATATGGTGCGGAGTTTGGATATGGAAGTGATTATCTTTTGGTCTATAAATCGTGGCCCCTGCTGCAGGGGTTTACATGTCGTGATATGATACACGGGAATTATAATACATAATATACAGACAATATGAGCATCTAGGGTTGCTCACCCGACTTCCTCTGCTGGTTCATCTTCCGGACCTCATGCTTGGATGGCAGCTTGATATCAGGGTTATTTGCCACCTGAAATTCCTCATCGTCTCTTTCTCTCATGAGCTGACGGCGGATGTCCTGTGGCGAAAGCTCCTCCCCTCGCTCTGCGGCCTCATCCTTGAGCTTCTGGACGACACGTCGGACAGTTCCGGTGAATGGCTGGCCGGGGTAAACCTTGCCGCTGGCCTTCCATTCCTCATCGTCAACGAGCTCGATGATGCGAACGTTGTGTTTGCCCTTTCGCAGGATTAGAATGTTACCATCAATGAGGAACTTGGCAGTCTCTTCAGGGAACCACATCTTCATGGGAGTCCAGTTGAGGTTTCCAGGCACGAGACCACGCATCTGGCCAGGCTGGCCAGCCACGTAAGCGCCTTGGCTGGCAACAAGTCGCTGGCCGTCAGTGTTGCTGGATGCAAGACCACAAGCGAACAGAATCTTCGCAGGGGATAGCTTCATGACGGATCGAGGGAGTTTGATGTCGCTGCGAGGGGCGTTGTTTGGTGTAATGATACCGCTTTCGGGGGTGGGCTCCTTGAGGATGTGTGGAAGCTCGCCGCCGAAGCGGAACTGGTGTTGCTGTGCCTCCTGAAGGGCCCTTTGAGAACCGTAAACCATAGACAAGACCTCGAAAGCCAGGTGGTGGTTGGCGATACGTTTCGATGGGTCCACACGGTGCTGTGCCATTATATCCTGGATCTGCTTGATGGGCATGAATGTGAAAAGCTTGAGCAGTTTCTCGAGTTCGTCGTCCGATCGTCGCATGAAAAAGCCGTAGAGCTCGAAAGGCGACGTCTTGTACTCGTCAAGCCACACGGCGTTTCCTGCGCTCTTGCCGAACTTGGCGCCTGAGGAGTCTGTGAGTAGAGGGACGGTGAAACCAAAAGGCTCATGTTGCCAGCCAGTAGGCATCTTTTCATGAGGAGCTTCCTCAGACTCTCGAACAACCTTTAATACGTCGATACCCGCGACAATGTTGCCGAACTGGTCTGAGCCCCCAATTTGCATCTGGCAGCCAAGCTTGTTGTACAAATGCCAGAAATCCCATCCCTGGAGGAGGGGATACATGAATTCACCGAGTGACATACCATCACCATCGTCCATTTTCCTCTTAACACTATATAGGCCGGTGTCAGTTACATCTAGAACTTGAATGGGGAACAGCGACAAATATACTTACGTCTCCCGGCTTAGCATAGGACCCAATCTCATATTGCGGGCCAGCCTCTTGCTGAAGTCGTACACTGTCAATTTTCCAAGCCAAGTGTTGTTATTCAAGAGAGCTCTTTTAGCAGCCCAGTCATCCTCATAACCGTACTTGCGCCTCAATTGATCGACGTTGGTCCAAAGTCTTGTGAGCTGGAAGTGCATTTTGGTGATGTTCTTGGTGATTTCGGAGTTGGTCATGTCATCCCGGCTTAGAAGTCTACCAGTCGGATCACCAATTCGAGCCGTTGAGCCACCCAGGAGAGTAACTGCTGGGTGTCCATGGAACCATATCCAGAAGAGGGCCATGAAAGGTAACAGATGGCCGACGTGCATTGAATCTGCCGTTGGGTCGATACCAACATATGCACCGACTCGCTTGATTCGCATGATCTCCTTGATCTTGTCAACGTTCCTGCCACATCTTCATTAGCTTTTTTTTCCGGCTCAGGTAACACAAACACGTAAGAAGCGTACCCCGCAACATCCTTCACAAAACCTCGCTCTTCAAGGACGTCCCAGACATGGGATATCTCGCCACTTTGGATCTTATCGGCTCTCTTTCTCCACCTGTCTTCTCCTTCGCTCACTTTTCTCAAGTATGACTGAGCAATACCACGAGCTCTGTGTAGACTACCGAGGGACCATACGGTTTCACGAGTTAAGCAGCGAGCGCATGCCCGCGAGCCTAGGCGAGGGAGTTCGGAAAATGGGATTCGCGGCGCCATATTCGTTATGTGTTATATCGATCTGGACCATATGCGTAAGGATCGATTCGAAAATCAATGTTGTGTGCTGGGGACGGTCATGAACATTTTGAGAGTTGTCGCATTGACAACCTCCGATAAGATACCAGAAGCTGCAAAAAAAAGCTTCCACCAAAAAAAAAAGTGGAAGCAGATTCACACAACTCGGGTCTGACCCACTTCGAAAGCATGTCCAATCAGAGAAGTCTTCGGCTGAAGATCTCGGTGGGTGGTTATTCCGATCCGTTTCACCCGTCCGCTTGTGACTCTCGGAACCCATCGGGCCAATCAGAAAGCGTGTAATTCAAGATCCTCGGCAATAGAGGTTTCCTAGATCGTCACCACCACCCGCCAACTTCCACTGCTCTGCACTCGTGGTCCAGATATCGACGAAGCTGATCCATTGGGCGCGCCATCGAACCGTACACAAGATCAATTCACAATGGCCTCCTTTGCGCGCCCCTCTATGCTGAGGCAGACTGCCATGGCATCCCGATGCGCCGCCATCTCTTCCGTCGCGACCCGAGCTGCCATTGCTCGTCCCGCCGTCGTTGCGGCTTTCCACACTTCCAGCAAGCGCCCTGCGTTCCTGCCACCCGGTCCTCGTAAGTACTCTTCAATTGGAACTCCTAGCTATGGGAATCATGCTGACCATTATTCCACAGAGAAAATCCAGGGTTCAGGTACGGCCAATTACTCCTCGCTCACATCCGCGGCAAAAACGATAATATTCGGCTCAGAATAACTAACAGACGACCAACCTTCTAGTAAACGACCCTGCCTTCGTCCCCGAGGCCAACTCCGCCCACGGCTCCTACCACTGGGCCACCGAGCGCCTCCTCGCCGCATCCCTCGTCCCCCTCACCATCGCCCCGTTCGCCGCCGGGTCCCTCAACCCCTTCACCGATGCGATCCTCTGCGGCGCCGTCCTCCTCCACTCGCACATGGGCTTCCAGCAGGTCGTCACCGACTACATCCCCAAGCGCGGCTGGCCCCGTCTCCACAAGGCCTTCTGGTGGGCCCTGAACCTGGCGACCGTCACCGTCGGCGTGGGACTGTACGAGTTCGAGACGAACGATGTTGGCGTCACGGAGGCTATCAAGAGGGTCTGGAAGGCATAGGTGTGATCTTGGAGAGTGGGAGAGAGGTTTTTACTTTGGTAACAGACGCGGCTGGGCGCTGATTGCTTAGACTTGGGCGCCCGGGGAAGGGGCGCACATGTGTACAAACTATCATGGCTTTCAGGAATGAAAACAAAAAAGATTCACTTTTTATTTGTCTTTCTCGAGATTCCTTATCTGGATGGCGCATCTGCGCCCAATAAATGACAACTTTTCATTCATACTAGGGGATCGTGCTCGTTGACTTCGAGAGATGGTCATGAATTCTGATAGCGAGAGCCAGGAGTACAGGCTTTCATTAAGCGTGCTAGTACCACTTTGCTGCATGGTTCCTTATCTTGAAAAGTTCAAGGGTAACTATGGCTTCCTTGCATGCCATCCCTTTCCAGCTCTCCAGTGATCACGGAGGTTTGAGGCATATCACCCACCATCTCACTAAGCAATCTTCTTCCATTTTCAAAGTTTTAGGATAACATCTCCGTCCGTTTTGATTTAGAAACTCATCAGATGTTGGCATATGTGCAATATATTTGCCAGCGAGAACTCTTGAAAATGACATGACAGCTATCGTGACAATATTACTCCTGCGGGCGTTACTTGCTGAGGGCTTGGTACGGCTCGCAGAGACTTTGCCCTAGCATTCATTATCCTCTGCCGGGTCTGGTAGGAACCAGGGTCTGTTCAGCAAAGTACCTAGGAAACTCAAGAGTTTATGAATGAGTGGTGCGGACTCAGTGTGATATGTGTCATTCTGTTTAACGTTTCTTGCTAAAATATCAATGTCATTCCTCCTTAATCAATTTTCCCTTTCATAATAATTCCTATTCGTTTCATTCCGGCTCTCATGTTATAGATGAGGCACGATCCCTTCCTTGAGTTTATTGGTACAAATATTCGCCAAGAAAACTCTTCGCATTCCGAGGTACACGGTGTTGAACAATGCCCTTTCTACAAAAGCCTAGTCCATTCCTGTCACACAGGTACTGCTGAGAGATTTACAGGGTGAAGTTTGTGATGTCGGCGCCGGTAGCACGCTCCATCTCAGGGGTTGGGGGTGGGAGGTTCTCGGTCTTAGTGCAAATCCAGCAGCCAGCATACATGTTGACACGATCAATGCAGGCACCGTCAAGACGGGCGCCGTGGCTCTTGGCGCTGAACCCGTGCTCCTTGAAGACGGAGATGTACCAAGGGCTCAGAGCGGACGAACGAAGCAGAACACGGCCTCCCATCTTGAGAGCGCGGTTGAGCTTGCTGACCTGTGCGCTTGTAGCTGGAGAGCCGACATCAAACCAGTCCATACTGTCCATGACGACGGCGACTGTAAGGGTGCCAGGCATGATACGGGCAATGACCTCTTCAAGCTCATCAGTGTGGATTCGGAGGCCATCAAGGGCACCGGGGCGAGAAAGCTTGGCGTGGTTCTTGGGGCTCAGATAGTCGGGGTGGCACTTGCGAGAGAACTTTCCAGCCATGCACACATAGTAGTACGGGTTATCCTCAGCGATATGGGTTCCCTCAGCCACAGGATCAAGGGTGTTGACCATGTAGTGCCAGATGGCATGCGAACGAGTGTTCTTTGCCTGCTTGGTCTCGACGACCTCGGACTTGGCATGGTCATCCTCAATCATAGCAAGCTGGTTCTTGGGGACACCAAGAGCAGCCCACAGGAAACTCTCTTGGGCAACAACCAAGTTGCATACAAGCTTGGACAAAAGGGCGGGACGAATCTTGTTGCGCCAGATCTCACGCTGCTCGTTGAGGGTCTTGGTTTCTAGGAGCTTCTTGACAATGGACCGGAGACCAAAAATGCGAGCGATCCAACGGAAAACACGAATGGCATGACGAGAACCACCGGTATCATAGAGGCCATAGCCAGTGGAGTTCTGGAACACGTGAATGTTCTTGAGCCAATATTGGAAAGCGCGGCTGGACAGGTGGGGAGACAGTTGGTTCAGGAGAATCTCACGGAACCGAGGGTGCTTTCCATCACCGAAAATCATGAAGAAGTCGTCGTAAGAGAGACCGGCGGTGTAGGAGGCAGCCTTGAGTTCCAAGAGATGGTTCTGGGTGGGGTTCAGATCAACCGCATGAACGCGGGCAGGGGACTTGGTCAGGTAAGAGAGAATGTTGTCACCAGCGGATGTAATGGCAAGGACCTTGTCATCGGGACCCAGGTTGAGCAGGCGCTCATCAACGCGAGTGTCTTCCCAAGTGAAAGCATAGATATACTCGTCGTTGAATTGCTTGTGCTTCTGGAGCTGGTCATCGTAGTAGATGCGCCAGTGGTGGTTCTGATAGAAGAAAGAAGGCAGGGGCAGGTTGGCACTCAAATTCTCCACAGCAGTGAGGAAAGCCTTGGAGCGGATCTCGGGAGCGGATCTCTCGATGGCACGGGTCAGGGCATCACCTTGGTTGACTGGGCCGAGGTAGGGAGACTCAGTTGCCAAGGCGTCAATACGCTCAACGATTTCATGGGGCAAGCTGGAAGAAGAAAAGGGCTTCTTGTGGCAACCGACCCAGATGTAGTACGGGATGGCACCAAGGGCGCGGTTGCGGCAGTTGGCAGAAAGGACAGTGCCGTACTTGTACTCGAGGTAATCACGGCGGCTGGGTTCAAGTCCAACTCTGTCCAGATCAAACCAAGATCGCCAGAAACTGCGGGTCAAGAAGTTGGTGTGACGGTCGACAAGACCGCCAGTGTAGTTCCGGAAGGAGAAGTCAATCTGGTTCTGGACATAGAAGTCAACAACTCCCATAATTCCGTCAGGGGACATCAGGGATGCCACTGAGTCAACTACAGAGTAATAGTCGGGCTAGGTGGCGGTAGTCAGTGGTTAAGATTCAAGAAGTGGACAAAAGTCATGGCGCGATGGATTCTGGAGCTCACAATCATGGAAAGGCTGTATGACATGGTGATCAAGTCTGCTCCCCCGTGCTCTGGGCGCTGCTGGGAGAAGTAGCTGAGAACAGGAGATCGCGGGCTTCGGGTTACGGGCATTCCAGCCTCGTAATCCTCGAGACGAAACTTGCGGGCATCTTGACAGACGACTGTGACGTTCTTCCAGCCCAGTCTCTCGAACCTCTTCCGGGCAACCTCACAGAGAGATGGGGAAAAGTCGACGAGGTAGACGCTGGAAAAGAAGTTGGGGACATCGACAAAAGCAGACATGGCCTCAATGTTCCAGCCAGTGCCGCCGCCAATCTAAGAATTACTCATATCAGCATCACGGGTGAACCATTGGCAACGAATCACAACAACATACATCGACCCAAATACGTCGTTTCTCACTCTTGTCTGCAGTGGCCGAGTTGGCCTTGGCCTTGGCATTCAGCTGGGCAGCAACTAGTGCCAGCATATCCTCACGGCCGCGAAGCAAGACTTTGCGAGTGGCATCATAAGCCCCGGCTTGCTTCTTGTAGAAGCTCTCCAAGGCATCCTGCTGGGTGCCCTTGGCGTCGCCTTGGTGTGGCTTAAGAAATGATGAGTAGAAGAAGAGGAAGAAGGACTTGAACAGTCCTGGATTCTCCTCCTCCTTTTTTGTTTTTATAATATAAGTTGAGATGCATGCGCCAGAGAGGACAGCAATGGCAATACCCGCATAGATAGGTTGAACATCGATGCCCTCGGGCAAAAGGTTACCACCCTGTTGAAAGGCAGCTGGTCAGCGGGGAATGGAGGGGAGGCAGAGAGAGAGGATAAGGATCAATTGGGCTGGTCGGCGGTTTGGATCATACAAGAGAAGCCATGGTATTCTCTCATTGTTTGCGAGAGAATAAATGTGTTGAATCGTTTAGCAGCAAAAGAGCTGAAGTTGAGAGCAATGACTTGATGGTTTTCAGTCAATAGGTGATACAGAGATAAAATGGAAAAGAGGAAGCCTCTCTGTACGCAGCCCGGGCGGAGCAGCGTTTATATGCCACCCCATGCTCCTACTTCTATTCTCAAGGGGACACAAGAAGCGGAGCTGGTGGTTCCCTTTCGCCCAACCAGACGCACGACGCCTGCGGGTGGGCGGGCAGGAGACGACCGAAGGGGGAAACATGGAGGTACCTTGGGCTCGTTAGTCCAGCACAGAGCTCATGCTCGATTCGGGGCTCACAGATTGGCTACGTGCCGCAGTAACGGCAGCCGTGGAGTCCATCAATGATGTCGGGTGGGTAGGAGGAGTGTGGCTCGAAGCAGAGGAGGACCCCCACCACCGCTGATCCAGAGGGGCCTCTTGTTCTTGCAAACCCCGCGCCAGCCAAGCCGTTGGACCAATGACTGGGGCGCATGCCTGGTCGTGCGTCAGGCAGGCCTTGAGGAGGGGATTGCACGAGACACACGGCATGACAGCACCAGCGCGAAGGCACATAGCATTGCCCAATTGCGAGCAGCGCACACCAAAAGCCGTCCAATTTCACTTAAATTCCGCACCCTGTGCCGAGCAATTTCCTGACCGCTCCGCGAGCTGGCTCCAAGAGATTGGAAGCTGCGCATTGGACGAGCCCAGCGCAGAAGCTCTGGGTTGTTGCACAACAATAACATGTGATTGCTGCTAATTCTAGAGAAAATGTTGGGACAGCGCTGTCTCGCCGTAGTTATGGAGACGAGGGGCCGGGGCAAGCAGCTTCCAGGGTGCACAGCAGTTGGAAACGCAGGGCCCTCCAGAGCTCTCTCCATAATTTAGCGCATCATGGCACGCTAGCGCCTCCACCGCCGCCCCTCCAGCCCAGTGTAGCTCCCTCCAGCAGGCCCGGCCAGAGCCTAGAGTCTGCTAAGGGGAGACCCTCACGAGCTCCAGGGTCCCAATAGGATGCGTCCAGCGTAGCACATGTACTGAATCGCAGCCCTGTGAGGCATGGAAGATAAAAGGTCTGAGGCGCGTGCCTGATAACAGGAGGGGTTTCGAATTGACTTGCCTATGCGCCTAGAACCAGACAGAAACTCCCGAGAGGCAGCTGTCCGCGTGCTCAATATTCAGCGCATCCAGCTCTCTCCTCCAATCATCGACCTTGTACATAAGGCCGTCGGGTGTACATGGATGCCACGCAGCTCTACCTAAGGCAGTGGAACCAAAGTCGATGCTGATACTGCTTCAAGGCACGCTAATGAAGAATTGATACGACCCAAGTCAAGTCCCTCACGAGCTCTTCTCTTTGATGACACGTACTCCATATTATTCGTGAACGTATGCATGAGTGACCAACCCCCGAGATCTTCCTAGCGCTCCAATGTACATCTCCTACCGTTGCATTTCGATGGACTTGTTTACTTCCAGAGCAACTTGTTGAGCAGCTCCTTGCCGGACGTAATTACACAAACATCACTCGCTTAGACTGGCCCCGTATCATCCACTCTGCCTTGCCACTCGTCCTTCCCTGTGCGGTCGCTGGCCATACTATAGCGTTCCGTTCTCTTCTGCCTAGTTCCATGATGCGTTGCTCCGTTTGCTGTGTTTTGCTTCCATTCCTCCTAAAAGCTGCAGGGCTAAAAGTACGCTCTTAGCTTGAGATGATTCGCCCGCTATCCCGAGCTGCTTCCCAATAGCTCACGAACCTGCAAGCCAAGAATGTTCGAGCCAGGTGCCCAAGCCAGCCATCAGAGGAACTTATTTATGTGACTTGTCACAATGTGTTTCAATGCTTCCCAGCATTGGCCAGGACAATTCCTATCCAAACAGGCAGTATGTCCTCATGTATCGGCTCGAGCTGCCGGCACGGGGGGAGGGGCATCGGCCCCATGCACTGCTCGGCTCACTCGGCGCATGACCGACGAATTTGTCGGACTTGGCTGGCCCAAGTGCCCCGAAGCGACCACTGTAAATCGGCGTGGGGCTGCCTGCAAAGACTCCCGGCGCAATTGCAATAGCGAGCGTAGAAGCATGCCTGTTTTCTTTACTCTTGCACGTAGGGAGGGAAAGGGGGGCGGAAATGCCTAGCCAACGAATCAACTCAAAGGCTAGGGAGACGCCTACACAAGAGGTTGCCGCTCCACCAACCGTTACATCCTGCAAAACAGTCTTCTCGCACCCACAGCACATGCCACTCTGCACGTCACTGTGAAACAATGCATGATAGTACACCAAGCGATGCCGGATCGTATTCCATACTGACAGGTGGTACAGCGACCTCCATCAGGCATTGTGTTTAAGCAATGACCACTGAATGGACCGAGGCGAAAATAAACACTGTCGTAACACGAACCAAGCCACCAGCGATCCTGACCGTTTTATCTGCATCTAGATGCAGAATGACGTTGCAGCACTAAAGCTAAAAGAATATTCGAATTACCATCACAAATAGCAGAATAAAGATTCAATGCTATGTTTGAAATTCCCCGACCGTTTAAACCTCTACTTTCAATTTCCTACCAATCCTAGCAATGCCAGCGAATGTAGTGAGACGAGGCGCAGAGGATTGACAACCAGCGGATAATCATTAAACCGGCTCCGGACCCGTCAATCGTCATCGCACGAGCCAACAGCTAGTCGCAAGCCCACGCGCGCGCATTCAGTCGCCAACAGTTGCTTCCCCTTCCGATGTCAACAAAAGACAAATCCATACACGCCTTACCTCAGAAACCGACTCTGCTATATGTTGCACCAGAGCCCTGGTGATAGACTTGGCCCCACATGCCTTTAGGTTCCGGCCAAAAAGGCACCGGCAAGAAGAATGCCGCGGCCATGCAGAAACAAAGTCGAACGTCGACCCCGGTACCGCCGCCAACGGCGAGCCTTCCTGCGCAGGAAGCTTACGATCCCGACTTCCTCAATGCTAGGGTTATTCTGTTCCAGAACGCTCTTAGCTACGATGATTTAATTGATGCCAACATGTCAAATGTCACCGTTCCGGATTCCCGAAGCGTCGATGCCATGCTTGCTAAGCTCAAGGACTTGGTAGATGTCATGGAAAAGCGATCAAGTTTCTACGATAGAGGCATGAGATTTCTCGCAGACGAACGTAAAAAGCGACCCGATGATTACGCCGCGGACGACCATGATACTGGGAAGCGCCCCAAAAATCCCAAGAAGAACCGGAACCGGAATTCCGATACCCTAGCACCACCCACAGATGGGAATAGCCAAGGTAAGCTTCCATAACAGGTCTACTGTAGACTCGGCTCCCCTCCGTAAACAACGAATCAGTACAATGGAAAGACACCCTTTACTAATTGTAGATCAACTTGTTCAGGCCGGTCATCACCCATCTCGAAAGGCAAAAATTCCCGTGGCAATGATTCTGCGAGTTCATCACTTTCGCCAGTTGCAGCAAAGTCCCCATCAGCCATGGAGGTTGATGAGAAACCCAAGAAGGAAGAGAACGAGGAATCTTCAAGTTCAGATGATGACGAGGGTGCACCTCCTAGGCGCGAGATGCCCCAGGCGCAGACATTCGGAGATGACCCCTCAACGTTTCCCGATCCCACCATTTACGAGATCCGAGATGTGCATTCTGGCATGTCAGAGGAGGAGAAGAAGGAGATTTTCTCCGTGGCCGTCTACCCCCGAAGTGATCTTGCCGATTTGATCGCGGGTGATCCGCCGGATAAAGATTTCAGCAGTGCGAAGCCGAACAGTCAGATCAATTTCTCGACCTTCTCGACTTATATTGAACCCTTTTTCCGACCATTCGGGGAAGAGGATCTGGGTTTCTTGCGTGAGAGAGGTGACCGCGTAACGCCTTTTGTAATGCCCAATCGAGGCAAAAGGCACTACACGGAAGTGTGGGCAGCAGAGGATGATTCAGCGATGGCTATAGACTCCCCTCAGCAAGGGCGAGAGAAGATGCCCTTCAACCAACCCCGTGGGAATATCGAGAACATGAACGATAGCGTGGCCGAAACCGATGGGCTGTCCATTGGACCTTTGGCATCGAGATTGTTGCAAGCTCTACGACCAGAAAACAGGACGCAAACCGACGATAAGCCAACAACCAATGGCGTCACTAATGGCGATGTTTCCATGAATGGCGATGTCAACGGGGATGATCAAAACGGAGAAGACAAATCAAATCCCCTACCTCCCGCAACCTACATGCCAGAGTCATCAACAGAAGCTTGGAAGAAAGCCACGCATCCCAAACTTGAGTATCCCCAAGTCGAGGAACGTCTTAAGCAGGAGCTGAAATATATTGGATTCCTTCCGCAGGAGGGATTTGATGGCGACTACGACGGGGCGTTCGATGACGAAGTAGCCGGAAGGCTACGACTCCTGCAGGCGCGACTCAAGGACCAAATGTTGATCAACGGAGCGCGCAAGGCGAAACTCACCGAGCTTGTTCGAGAGCGTATGGCACATCAAGAATATTCAACCATCCTGGAAGATCTTGACAACCAAGTCCAAGCTGCGTACACAAAGCGCACACGGACAATGGGGAAGAACAAGAAGACCAAGCGTCCTGGAGGTGCAGGAGGCGGCAGTCATTTTGTGGGTTCAGGGGCAGCAGGCACTGCGCGACCTGGCATCGGCGATCTTACGAAGACGCTGATGGAACGCCGCAAGAGGTGGATCAACACTATTGGTTCTGTTTTCACGGATGAGACGGTCCGCAAGGTCCCCAGAACCGAAGACCCCGATAGTTCCATCTTCAAGCCGAACGAGGTCGCTGAGCTGATCAAGAGGGAGAAGGAGCAGTGGGATGAGGAGGTCGAGGAAGAATGATG